TCAACTTCATTACTGACTGCGCAATGCAATTTCAATGAATCCTTTATTCACAACTAAAGTGATTATACTGTCTCAATGGTATTTAGTTGTAGAAATATTTAACCTTGAAAATTATTTCTCTGCTGATAACACATCTACCTCCACCTGTAGGGCCTCTCATCCTGTAGGGCACTTTCTTATTCTGTTCACAAAGAGATTTTTATTCTGAATGGCTGAACACCACAGTGTGTGTTGATCTGAGCGTTCACCTGTTATTAGAGCTCTTCATTTCCCCACCCAGGGGATGTAGGGTGATGCCTTGGAGATCTGTGGTAGATTTCTCTGAGGAAGGTCTCTCTAGGCATCTCATTGTTAGATACCATTGTGCTGTCACACATTCTGCAGTCAAATGGGACTGCCTGAATTATATTTATTAGAATACCTAGAGTCAGTAGTAGTGAATCTCAGAAACTCTTATGGAAAGTCTTCAATATCATGTCTATTTGTAATGTTACATGAATTTTCTGTATTTACATTACCCTCAATAAAATTTTAGTGTCTTAGCAAGCTGACATCAGCATATTTGGAAACACTGTTATCCACTTCTTCCTCATCTGCTAGTTGACCTGTGAACCTGACCATGGATCCATCGAAGAACTGGGTGCCCACAGCAGAGTCAAGACCAAGTGAGAAGGCCCTGTGCTGCCCATTAAGGAATCTCAACTCCAGCTTTCTGATCTCCTGAGTCCCTTGGGACAAAACTAGGTCAAGCCTGGACTCTGACTACTTCTCATATAAAATGACTAGGAGAGAGCTTTGGGATCTTTGGGATTTGGGGATATTGGAAAATGCCTTTGAGTGGATTCTCTAAGATGCAAATCACAGTTGCTGTATGTCTAACAGTTCAGGTATATAACAGTCATTTATTCATTGTTCAAAAATTATGAACAAAATTAAGTATCACAGAGGGAATCTGGGCAAGCATTTTGATATAATCATCTATTCATCTTTCTATCATCTGTCTGTTTAATTATTTGTTAATATTTCCATCTATCATCATTGTATCCATTCTATGCTCTGTCATATATCTATTGACCCATAAACTTTATACGCATTCACCTTTCATTTATGTATCTACTGTAAATGTATTGTTTGTTCAATTCCTTGTTACTCATTTTTTAATTTTGTGCTTTGTTATTTTCTATCCTTTGTGTCTGTATTATCCAAAATTTATCCATTTTGTATCACTGTGTTCATCAACATCTTAAATATTTCATCAATTGTCATCTACCTTTCATTGATGGATATATCATCTGTTTATCTTAACTGCTTTATTAACATGTTATACACAAAAATGTTGCTTTATAGTCTGTAAGACTGATATTCTTGAGAAGTTGCCTAACAGGCTGAGAAAATTGTGCAACCCACAAGACCAGTTTCCCATGATTTACATCCTCTTGGCAACATCTTGACAGTACTACGTTGGAGGAGACTACATTTTCTTAAAAACTGTGCTTGCTTTAAATGTAGCAGTTGCTGTCCTGAGTATTAGTTATAATACAATCAAATTTGATGCTTACTCTGCAATCAGCAATCCTGCAACACAGTACAAGGTGTGTATTAAAAAGCAGAAAGAGCAAAAATGTGTTTTAAATTTGGACCATGCCTACAAAGTAGAAAGCCTCCATACACTGAAACGCTCTCTCTGTCTCTCTCTCTCTCTGTCTCTCTCTCTCTCTGTCTCTCTCTCTGTTTCTCTCTCTGTCTCTGTCTCTCTCTCTCTGTTCTGTCTCTCTCTCTCTGTCTCTCTCTCTCGCTCTGTCACACACACAGGTTTCTATATGCATATCAATTTCACTTAAGTAAAGAATATTTAAATTTTGAAATACCATATTTTTCACAAAGTTTATTTATATTTACCACAGCTATCTATTTCTTTACTGTTTTTCATTACTTTGTAATTATCAATCACTCATCTATATATGATGTTGCATGAAAAAGGAAATGACATCAGCAAACTAAATGATACTCCCTTCATGTTATCAGTTTCTTGTTACTCAGAAATACACTGACATGAAGGAAATGACCCCCACTCCTTACCCCTTCACATTCATGGTTCTTGAAGGCAGAGCTGAGGTGATGTCCTCACACCAAAATCCCTGCCTCTCTGAAGTCACCGTGGAACTCACCATCCAGCTCATTATGTGAAGCTAAGCAATCTTCATCCTACATCTTCCTCTGCACCTCACCTGAGACCAGCATAATCACTGAGCTACCCTGTATGAAAAGACTAAGATTTCCTTTACCCAGTGTGAAGACCCAGGCTGTCTTGCATTGTCCAGCCAGGGTGGACCCATTTCCATGAACACACCACCACATAGTATGGAGCTAGATCTTCACTGTGGCTCTTTTAAATTCCTGCTTCCTAGAAGATCCTTCAAAGCTCTGATAATGACTAGTGTGTATCCTGTTTTGTCTTTTTCAGTGTCTTTTCAGCTTTAGAGTTGAGTAATGAGATACATTTTTAACTTTGTTGGATCAGACCATTGATTCTTGCTAGCAACAGATTAAATCTGACCTCTGAAGTCACATAAGTTTGCTTCTCCAAGCTCATAATAGGGCAAATACATATTGTCAGTGTTGAAAAACTAAAAAAAGTCATTAGGCAGACAAGAGTGATAGTGCAGAGCGACCAATTACCTTGAAAAATGGAGGAATGCAAAATGCAGCATCACTGATTACAACTATTCCCTTCCTACAAAAGTCACTGGGGCACACAGTGGAGGAACACTGACATGGTGAGAATGCATGACTGAAGGCCAGCAGAGGACCAGGGTGAATGGAGAACTCCTTGGGTCATTAAACTCACAGATTCCTCCCAGAGCCCTTCAGGATCTCAAGGTAAAGATCATAAAGACCCTCGGGGCTTTGTCAGGGAGAAAGGAAGACAGATCCCTGAGATCATCAACAAGTGCCTTCTACAGACCCTCAGGAAAAGACATTTGGTTACAGCTTGTATCTAGAAGCTCCCCCACAGCCTCATGTTCCCATTCATGGGGAGATGTGAAGATGGTTTGGTATGATACTGATATTAGGGTGTGACATTTGGATTCATTGTGTGGATGAGGGAAGGCAAAACCTGGATGTGTATGGCCGCACCCAAAAGTCTTTTGGCTTGCATGGCATAAAACCGACAGGCAGATTGGCTGCTTCTGCTTCCCCCAGTTGCTGACTTCTGCCAACTGCCATGAAATGGGCTTTTTACCGCCATAGTGCCTCTTAGCCATGCCATTCTGCTTCAGAACCAGTTTACTAATGACTGAATACTTTACAAAGTGTGTGATAAACTATTCTTAATTTAACCTACAAGGCAAGATTTTGTCAGCAACCACAGTGGCAACCAAACTTATCTTTGGTGGATGTCTATAGTGACTTAACACCAGCTCAACTGAATCGGCATGCTGCTGAGTGTGGATGTCCCACCTGAGGACTGTTCTCAACAACTTAAAAAGAATTGGAGAGGAAGAAGTGTTGTATGGCCATGTTGGCCTAGGTGCTGTTGGTTTTCCTATTGCCATAAGTTCACCTAGAGGAGTTTATTGATCTTTCCAGATGTGAACTAGGTTGTTGCAATCATTAGTGGAGCTCAGGACCTTGTTGTCACTAAGAGTGAAAAAGTTCAATTTGGGGAGCTCTGGTCCTTATTTTTCAAATTGCTTTCTGGCTCCAGAGGGAAAGATGTGTGCTGTTTAGTCTCCTAGAGAAATTGTCATGCTGGCTACCTGGTATGAACTGCTATTTTCATCAGAGGAGCAACTTTGAACCTCATAGCTGCTGAGGGTCGCTGTATTACTTTTTGGGTGAGCTCTGGTTCTTAGTTTGAGTGCAGCTTCTTGGCTCCAGTACAGGTCCCACTGCCTGCTGGCACAGATGGTCCCCCCATGGTACACATTTTCTAACTTCCCCTGCTGACCTTCGCAGTGCAGATTTGTGAAACAGACTTGCTTGAGCCATTTTCATGGGCTCTAGGTCTTCAGCTGGGCTCATGCAGGATGTTTCAATGATATCCAGGACCTTAGCTGGATCCTTTGGGTCTTAGTGCATAAGTAGGTTTCTTGCACTTTTTTTTCGATGATTATCAGAATAAAGTACTATAAATTGTGTGTCTTGTACTCTTTTCCTTCCAATTTTGACTACAACAGATTTGAGAATATTGTTCATGGTAGACATTAAAATATTACCAATTTCAAAAATTTTATTCACTAACTTCAAAGATTCATGTCAATATCACCTCTTCCAATACCAGTATATTGCTATGATGTGTATGATGTTGATAATATTTCACTGTTCAAAAGGAGAAAACTCTAATGAGATAAATGTTAAGAATTTACGAATACCTTCCAGAGAACAAGAGGAGAAGATGAATATAGAAAAGGAATGACCATCCCGTGGATACATCCCAAGGTCATGTATGGACTGGAAACTTAACCCAGATGGCCTTGTTTCTTCCTCAGATGATTAGAAAATTCGCTGTGAGGCAGAATCAAAGCATTTAATTCCAATTTATGCTGGCTATGCTCAGGTGGGACTTGGATCACAGGATGTCTTAGAGCAGGAGGCAGGTGGACCTCTCCTGACAACAAAAAAGACAGTGAAGCAAGTTCTCAAAGCAACAAAAATAGAACCAAATCAGAGAGCTAAGGGAGGGCAGTGGGAGTATGCTGAATTTTTAGATGAAGAACAAGCACCAGTGTTAACGAAAAGGAAGTCAGACTGGGGTATGGAAAGGGAGAAGGGCCAGGAGGAATCCTTCCTGCAGTCAGGAAGGTGGGGTGATTATCATTGCCATGATTCCACCACTCCTATGAATTCTACTCCCATTTATCAGACTAACACCAAGCTAGAATTCAGAACAAGAAAATCCTCTCAGTAGCACAAAAAACAGACAAGCCCAGGACTTATGGTCCCCTTTTTATAGGAAGTGTGAACCCTATATGCAAATATATGCTCACACATTAGATTGAAAATCCACTCAGGGGCCTTGGGACCCCAGAGCTCCCTCCCAGACAGGGCTGAGTTCTCTAAGGAAGGCAGTGGTTTGGTTTAACCATGAGACTGCTGGGTCTTCTTTTGTGCCTGGTGACAGCTCTCCATGGTGAGTGTCCTCCATGTGGGATTTGGGTCCATGGAAATGTTACCAAAGCAGGTGACTGACGGGAAGGTTTTTTTGATCCTAGGCATCTTCTGTCAGGTGCAGCTGCAAGAGTCGGGGCCTGGCCTGGTTAAGCCCTCGCAGACCCTGTCCCTCACATGCACAGTCTCTGGCTACTCCATCACCAGTGGTTATGACTGGGCCTGGATCCGTCAGCCCCCAGGAAAGAGCCTGGAGTGGATGGGGTACATAAGTAGCGGTGGTAGCACTAGATACAACCCGTCGCTCCAGAGCCGCATGTCCATCTCCAGAGACACAGGCAAGAACCAGTTCTCCCTGCAGCTAAAATCTGTCACTGCAGAAGACACTGCCACCTATTACTGTGCAAGAGAGTCACAGTGCTTTGATATAAGTGTGAGCCCCAACATAAACCTCCCTGCAGGGAAACTCTAGACCAGCAGGGGGCGCGCTGCTCACACTGCTCTAGGGATAGCTTCACTGCCTTGTGGTGACAGACTGGATGGCTTTTTCAGTGATGAAAATCAAGGATTTTAGGAACATTTTATGTCCTTGAGCGTCGAATGCTATGTTTTCATTGAATCAGGCTTTTATTAATTTCCCTATATATTTCATTATTAATTGGACAGCACATTTTCAAAGAAGCTGTTGTCCATTGTGATTACACTATTTCAATGGTTTCCAGGTAGCAATATTTAAATATGATAATTATTTCTCTATTTATTGTAAGTCTGCACTCCAACCTCAGGTGCATCTGAGTTGCATCTCATCCCGAAGGGCACTTTCCAATTCTATTCTTGCAGAGATTTTTACTCTGAATGACTGGACATCACTGTGTGTTGATCTGAGTGTTCATCTGTTACTGGAGATGTTCATTTCTCCACCCTTGGTCATGTAGGCAGATGCCTTGGAGAGCTGTTCTAGATTCCACTGTTGAGGGGCCTCTCTCGGCATCTCATTGGTAGAGAACATCATGCTGTCACACATCCTGCAGTCATAGGACACTGCCCAAGGACTGTTTATTTGGACCTAGATTCATTAGTAGTGAGTCTCAGAAACTCTTATGGAATGTCTTAAATATAATGTCTGTTTGAAATGCTAATTGAATTTATTATATTCACATTACCCTCAATAAAATTTGGACATCTCTGCAGCTGGCATCAGCACATTTGGAAACACTGTTGTCTACTTGTTCCTCATCTGTCAGTTGACCTGGGAACAGTGAGTGACCTGACCACGGATCCATGAAACAGAAAGGTGTCCATAGAAGTGTCAAGACCACAGAGGAGGCTAGTGCCCACCAAGAAACCTGGACTCCAGCTCTTTTTGTGCTCTCTTGAGTCCCTGATGACAAGACTAGGTCTGGATTCTAACTCATGCCTGGTGTGAATTCTTTGGGAAGGAGTTTTGGGATCACAGGGATTTGGGGACATGGTAAAATGTCATTGGGAAGATTCCCTAAGATACAGATCTTGGTGGCCTTATCTCTACGTATTCAGATGTGTAACCAGTCATTTATTCATTGCTTCAAAATTTTGAACAAAGTTGAAGATTATGGAAGAAATCTGAGAAATAATTTTACATAATTGTTCATCCTTTTTATCATCTGTCATTCAGCTATGTGTGTTTTTAGCCATGATTCAATGGATTTGCTTTTCCGTTATGTATCTATTAAAATTTATTATTTATTCACATCCTGTTATCTACTTTTCATTTTGTTCCTTGTGTTTATCTGTCCATCATGTATGTATCACATACAATTTAACTATTTTGCATCACTCTGTCAATCCCCATCTTAACTATTTCATCATCTTTCATCTACCTATCATTAATGGATGCATCATCTGCTTATATCTATCAATAATGGTGATATAAAAAAACCATTGATGTAACTTGTAAAGACTGATATACTTGAGAAAATTGTCTAAGGAGACTGGGAACACGATATAACCCACAGGACCTCTTGCCTATGATTTACTTCCTCATGTAAATCAACTGACAGCACTGCAGTGGAGGAGACTACATTTTGTTAAAAAAGTGAAGCTTGCACATGACACACAGGCTCGCACTCTCTATCCTGGGTATTTACTAGAGAAGAATAAGTCTTAATGTTCCTTATGCTATCAGAATGCAATGTCTGTATTGAAAATTAGAAACTGTAAAATGAATTTTAAAGTTGGAGCAGGTGTATAAACAAGAAATCATTCATAGATTGACTACTGTTTTCCATAAAAGCACAATATTTACTCCTGCCTATGGGTGACACTGTAGACTTGTGCAAGGTGAGGATGTGGCTTACAGATATCTCATCTCACATTTGGGGACTCTCAGCTTGAGCGGGTGACATTGTCTGACTGCTGTCTTTGCTCTCCCTGGACATGGTCCATGACTAAGAGAATGAATGTCCTGCTATGCCCACTAGTGTCCTGAGTTGGGAGCTGTCCCAGAGCTTGGTCCACATATCTCCTCTCTGCTCTCACCTAAGACACAGCTGTTGCACCTTACTCTTTGGCCCTGTGAGAACCAGCAGCTCCCAGGTCAGCCCATGTCTCCAGAGACTCTCCTCTCTGCTACCACCTGCACGTCAGCATGCACTGGCTGATGCGGAGAGCAGTTTAGGTGCGGATTTTTCAAGCTCTTTTGCTTTTGCATGGAGTTCATTCTCCTAGGCATGGACTCCAGATGCTGCCTCAGTGCATTCTTCCATCTCCTCCTCATTCCCAGGAACCACTCTGACTTGAGGTTCTGCAGCTTCAGGTGCAGACACAGGTGTTCTTGCTGACCTCTCTGACTGGTTTCCTATGCTCAGGAGAGGGATGGGAATCAGCCTCCGCTTCTCAGCTTGTCTTTCACTGCTGCCTCTGTCCGTTGCTCTGTGAGAAAGAGGTGGGAATCAGGGGTCTCCCAACCACTGGTGCTACTCCAGGGCACATTGTTAAATGGAGATGAATAGAAGCCTCTGCCTTTATGAATCAAGTGCTCAGGATTTGGCTCAGCACCTAGGAGCAGGGCCACAGGGCTAATATCTTGATTCTTGAGTTTCAAGTCACTTCAAGAAACCTCATTAGAAGCAGATTGGTGCTTGCCTGCTTCATCTGAACATATTAACATTGATTTTCTTGAAGGAGATTAACTAAATTTGGGTTTTCATTCAAAGTAAGTTTACTTTCTTGTACTGCGCCCCTTTGAGTTTTTGCAGACATAATTAAAAGTACTGCTCAGCAGTATGTTGCAGAGTGGGTTCTCAGAGCTTCACCTTCTGTCACAGGAGAGGGAGATATGTGTCTTCCCTAGTGTAGGGAAACATGCACTGCATAGAGCATTAGGGATCAGCTCCCCACTTCAGTCCCTTCTTGTGTCAGTCAGCCATTATTTCTCTATGAGGCCAGCTGTTCAGTATACCCCAAAAGCAGTGGCTTCCGGAATTTTCTGACATGTGCCCTTGTTTTTTTTTTTTTTTTTTTCTCTGAAGTTTAGTATTCTCTAGTGAGTGGCTCTGCCTTCTTTCACTACAGCAAATTCCTGCCATAATAAATTTCAAAGGGAAACGTGTTGTTTTGTCTCACAGTTTTACAGCTTCAAAGCTGTATTGAGAAGTTCTCATGGTTTCTAGGATTCTCTAAGTGCAATGGATGATAATGCAGTACACATTCAGCGCAGAGAAACTGCACAAACTCCCAGAAATCAGAAAAGTGAGAAGATCCTGGGTCTGGAAACACCCTACAGAGGTGTGGTCCAGGGATCTACACATATCCCTCCAGCCCCATCTCCCAAAGTTATGCCATTGCCTAATGCTCCATGGGCTGGGTGCCACGGCCTGAAAACACTGCTTTCAGTGGATATTTATTCATAAAATAGCATGAATTCTGGCATTACTGCCTCAGCTCACAGGATTTTACACATTTCTTTGCTTGGAAACTCCATGAAATTTATTATTATCCATTCATTTCTTGAAGGACACTTTGCCTGAATCAGTAACTTAGTTAATGAAAATAATGCTACAACAAGCATGGTAGTAGATAACTTCCCGTGATATACCAATTTTAAAATTTCGGAATATATCCTAGCAAGAGGATTTATGAACTATACAGATTTTTTGTGCTTTAATATTTATAGAATATTCTTGACACCTTCTACTGAAGCTGAACCAATTCTTATATCCTGCAGAATTGTAATGACTTCTTTCTACACAGCCTCACCAGGAATCATCATTATTTTATCCTTCATCTTGTACACATTTAAAAGGAGGTAGCAGTTAAAGGTACTGTATTTTCCATTTTCAGTTACATTTCTAGAATTGTTATGTTGAGAATATTTCCTGTGCCATTTGGTCCATTTTTACTTCCTTTACACAGACGTCTATTAACATCATTTTTCAATTTTAAATATTTATTATCATTATAGTTGCTATTATTGTTTTCATTATGATCGCTATTGTTGTTACCATTATGATTTATAGTTTTTCTCTTCAGCATGCATTGTTAATATAACCATGTTGTCACCTAATATTATGCCAGAAAGTTTAGATGATGTCTTTGCTTTCTGTCAGTTAGTTCCTTTATGCAGAACATTTCTTTCTAGTTGGATGTCCTTCCATTTTAAACGTTGTGTCAGTTTACATATGGGGAGAGACAGGTTTCTGATCTCATGGTTCACCACAAGGACACACATTTCCCTGAGCACCATTTTCTGAAGTGAACACCAACGTCCAAATCTGTGCTCCCAATGCTTTTGTTGAAAATCTTTCAGCTGCACAAGTGAAGATTTGCTCTCAGAACTTATTCTTTGCATTGCTGTACCTGTTCATTTTTGCAAGTGATATGCTTTTGTGGATACTCTATCTAATCTATATGCATTTATATAATCTATTAGAGTGGTGCCAAATGATGGCATCAGCACTGTTCTTTTCATCCAAGATTTTTGTGTGTCCTAGATTATTTTTGTGAGTAGAGGAATTGTGGTATTTTGTTTCTACTTCAGGGGAAAACACCATTTTTGCTACTAGAGGAACTGGGTTAACTGTGCGTATCTATTTAGGTAATTCTAATTTTGCATGTTGAGTGATCTCCAAATGTAAGTGGGTAAAGTCTCCATTCCCAGTACCATGTTTAGGGGGTGCTATGAACATTTAAATTTTGTCCTTGTGGGAGGTCTCTAGGTACATATATCACCCACTAGAAGGTATATAGAACCTAGCTGCCCACAGTTCTCTGTCTGCTCTGTTGTGGGAGGCGACGTCTTGTTCATGCTCATCTTCCACCATCATGTGCCACCCTTCACTGCTCTCATCAAAGGCCCAACCAACTGTGTGGCAAGGGCTTTGTGAACTGAACCATCACTGTACAGGAAATGGTACTGAGACCCCATCAATGGGATCATAGCAAGTTAAAAGTCAGATGCCCAGCAAACAATATAGCTAGAAACAGTGTGAAGAG